ATATGTCACTTTTAAAACTCTACACGTCATAGCTAATTCAGTATAAATACATTGTGTCATAAAAAATGGCAGGGGTTTCTTTAAGAAAGGACCACTTTTATTGACCTGTAATAGAATGTTGCGATTTCACATTGGTATATTTACATTCTCTTATTTAAAATAAGACATTTTCAGCAAGAGTTTACTACATTTCAATATATTTCTGCAATAAGATTATCTAACTCAAAGGTGATATCTATATTTTACGCTTACAGAAAAACAGTTTCAGGGTTTACTTTTACCTTTCTAGTTTCTTATGCTAATTTTGGTTTATAAAAGACATGTTGATTGGCTTTTGCTCATTTCCTGTTATGAAATGTAAAATGTTTTCCCAGAGTTTTTCATTAACTCAGATAAAGCATTTAATTCTCAGTGGCGGTATGTTTCCTGGTGCATCGTGATAATTGACTCCAGTACTAATGCTGTTTACCGTTGAACGTAGTAAAAGATGTGAATCATTATCTCTCGTAAGTCAATTAAACCTTATCTGCAATTTTCACTTTTTTAAGTTATATTCTAAAGGATTTTGATGACATTTGCATTCAAGCAGTCGTTATTTAGTGGAAGGGAAATTGGAAATATGATAAAGTTGCAATATTTACTGTTTTCGTTGATTTTTGTTACACCTGTACTTATGTTTATGAAAATTTAACTTATATCCGATTTTTTAGAAATACTATCATTTTTTGAAAATACTCTAATCTCTCCTACTTTGTTAGGCGTTTTTCTAGTTTCCTTTCAAATATGTTCTTTAAACACTTCATCGTTATTCTTTTTTACATATACTTAAACACTTTCGTCGTAAGTTTTTATATGTAGCTTAGTGACATAATATGATACACTACTCACTACTCATTTTGGCTACAGAAAATTACCATGTAACTTTTTTGCTTATGCCCACATACCAAAATAAATAAAAACATATATTTCTTAATATTTTCCAAATGAACATACAAGTATTATTGACAGCATATTGCTAAGTTGAACTGTTATTTATTAAGAGATGCTTCCTTTGACAACGTTTTGTTAAATATATCCTTAAACAAAGGGAACTGGGCAAAATTAAGCTTCAGCACATGTGTTAATTGTGTTATATATGTATTTTATAACAATCTTATGCATGTATTTTTTTTCAATTTCGTCCGGGGACTTAGCCTTGTATTGCAAATGAGATCTATGAAAACTAGTAGTGCTAAATGCTTTGTATCATCGGAAAAATGTTTCATATTTTATCAAAGAATATGTAAACATATGTAGGCTGATCTGTTTAAAACATTATCCAGATGAAGCTCTTTATTACGTATTATGTTTATATCAGTGACTCTATTCAATGTAAACTTAATCTGTTCACCACCAGTTATATAATATTACATGGAATATATTACCCCTCATTATATAATTATTAACATATTTACCTACAAACCTTATGAAGTGGGTGATGATTTTTTAAATAATTGTATAAGAACTGTTGCGCTAGGTCTGATTATGTTTTGTTATTATTATTTGCTATAATAAGCACAGCGATATGGCTTATCTCATTGTAAACATGCCGAAGTACTTCTAAACATTCATATATTAATATAAATAACTGTATAATCGATGTGTATACATATGATACATGATGAGTAATACCCTGTAGCTGATTTATACATGTATTAAATTAGATGACAAGGATGGAAATGATATACAGATATTTATTACTGACATTAGTCAACAGTAAAAATGTGACATCCAGCACTTTTTAGTGTTGCAAAATGTGTACCGCTCAAGTGGGTGCTAGGAAGTGTGAGGGGTGGTGCACTTTTTCCTTATTGCTTATGTACAGGCTCATTCAAACCGATTTTTTGAAATAATTTTGCTGATTTTAACGCTTCCGAGGGATCACTTTTTTCAATTACTTTTTACATACAATACTATACGTGACATTGTGACATATTTACATACTGTATGGAAAAAGTGCGTACATAAATAGTAGATGCTGGATGTGCATACAGATTCTTCTGTTCTTTCCATTAGTTCTCAATTTATGCGCCGGAAAATTAGACCTACGTCTCTAATTATGAGAATTTTGAAATAATTAGAGTAAATATTTTAAATCTGTCTTTATGTTATCTAAAATAATCAATTTATAGGTAATATATGTGAATTTTCACTTACTGGCGTTAAACCCTCTGTCAAAGGGCTTGGTGCACTTAAACTTATTGCCAAATGTTGCCCTGTTTCAGAATTAGTTCAAACAAATATATGTATTAGCATTGTAAAACGAAAACCTTCGTAGATATATGAGTTTATGTCTGATTGCTAAAATACTGTGTAACTTAATGATATATGTTTTATAAAGTGTGACATTGACCATTTGATTGTATTGTATGCTTTGTTATATGTACTGTGTATGCATGGACATATTGTCCAAATGTACTTTGAAATAAACTTGAAACTTGAAACTTGTAATGTAGAAAAACAAAAGAAATGCCTGGCTTCTTAACTAATAAATGTTTATCTTTGAAGTTCATTAATTTGTTGTTTTTTTTGTGTTTGTTTTAATTGTATAAGTTTACAAATATACACATTTTTATTTTTATATAAATGTTAAATATATTACATGTTATGTATGTGGGAAATAGCCAGTTTGCCAGTAAACTTGAACTTTAATTATTTCACAGGACCTTTTGAATAGTAAATGAATCTATAGTTGTCGATATTAATGGATCTACTTGATATCAATCACTTTGTAATGATCATAGATGCGTAAATGATCACTAACTTACTAAGATTTAATTATCATATTTAATTCTACATATCAAACTAGTTAAAATATAAGGTCAGATAAGGACACAAATATGAGAATAGTAATTTTATGTATTAAGTAATTATCTTGTTCTATTAACTAACATAAAATCCGCGGTCTTAGTTAAGATTTGATAACAGAATGTGTACAGAAACTTCAATTTTTATTGGTAGGACGCGTGTAATTATTTTTTGAAACTGGTTGAAAAAAATCTCTTAATTTTTTTGTTAATAAACATGAATATACAAGGCAAAATTCATAATCTTATAATCATATTTGGAGAATGTTTAATAAGAGAATAACAGGTTTCCCCAAAACTTCCTGAAACTAAAGACACGTTTATAACTTAATCACTTAACAAAACACATTCCGTTTGCACAGTTGTTTAGATTAACCATCAGCAACAGCCGATTGCTACAAAAAAGTTATATCTAAATGTTATCATACAAGTAGTTCTTTGGCCAATGTTTGACCTTTTGCCTACCTCTTGGTACAGGTGTAAAATTTTACCAGCTATTGCTTACTATTCACAGTATGATAAAATGTTAATGAAAGGTATTGATTTTCAAAGAATCTATTTTAACCTTAAGTCTGTTGGAACTGAAAAGTCTGACTAAACTATATACTATTAAAGTAGCTCAATTTTTGTATTTCATATAAACATTCTCTAGATTTTTAATGGAATATTCCAAAGTCAAAGACAGAAAGGAAGAAATGAAAGAAAGTCTGTTACTTTAAGGTTAAATAATAATTATGACCTTATACAATGTATACATTTTTCCTAGTTTATTTACATATCATTTACGATTAATGCATTTTACATGTTAACTTGTTATCAAAGTCAGTGATCTCACAGATTATGTTGAAATAGATCCAATCAATGCTTTTAAGACTGTACAGGTATCTAACAAATATCTTTCTATTAGCAGATATTATGGATGATCTATATTTAGATGTGTAAATCGGTCAAAAATTTTCCTACTTTCATGGTTAAAAAATATCTAAGAATTTTCTTTTTGACATTAGACACAAGAAAAAAAAACATAATTGGTCAGGTCAGAAAAATAGATTGATATGACTAATATTTAATGATTTGCTGAATAAGGAAACACACTTATTCAGGCCTGAGAAATTAGAACAACTGTTTTTATAATGACTTACCTGTATCATTAGTTTACCTATGTCGTATGTCAATACTTAACTAGCGATGTCTTAAGTCATAGAAAGAGCATCAAAACACGGGGCTTTCTGATTTGTACGAGGGGGCGTAGCCCCCCGAGTATTTATCAGATTGCCAAGTGTGTGGATGCTCTTTCTCTTTTGTATCATAGTCAAACATAAAAACACGTTCCCTGTTGTCACAATATGAAACCCCCCTGGAAAAGGTAACCAATGAACGAGCATCTAAATATGATATTTCTGTCGCTTTCCCTTTCCCTTCCGTCACAATAAGTAAACCCTAGCAAAAATGAGCCAATCAACGGGCATGCTCTGGAGTGCGGGTAACTAATACCTGCACTCCAGTTAACGCACTGTGCGTGTATATGTATACGATTTAACTCTGACGCATTTTCAACAGAAAGGTCCCCAAACTATGATACAATAATTTATTCATACAGTTAAAATTGTATTCCTACGGATTATTAATAAAACAAGTTCTAATTCGTTGAGAGAGTCACGCTAAATTCATGAAGTTATATGTCGAATTTTACCTACGTTAATAATTCTTAATCTGCTGTAATTCTTATATGTAGTTGAAGTGGAATTGTCATATTCCTTATATTTGTTAATTTCTTTACAGTTTCTTGCCATCCAAATTCTACTTTTTTTAGTTATTGGCACTGTGAAGTGAAAGCCATATGTACAAAACGTGTTTAAAGCTACAAGCCTCCAGATGAGCCAAAATATTTTAATAAAATCAACCTTGAGAAAAAAATGTATATATTCACAGTTTGATAAATAGTTTGCATGTTATGTGCAATAAATGACTGATTTTGCAGTATTTATTAACACACATCTGAAGAAAAATTTCATCTTAGAAATGCCAACGTTATGAACTCAAACACTGAATTTTTAACAGTTATTGTCAATATTTTCTCAGATTGGTATATGTTTATGCGTATTTTGATTCTGTAATTTATTAAGAAATATATATTGTTCTTTCAGGTAAATCCATGCTATTTTAACCATGAAGCTAGCTATTTCGCAGAATAAAAACAAAAGTCGTTTTACAGACATGTAATGCCAAACATCTTATTCAGAACGTTTGTTGAAGTTTGGACCTGATGAATATTTTATATTTGTAAACATAATGCAGACAGTTATTCCATAAAGTGATGTGCTTGTTTTGAAAACATCTCCATACTGATCCTAAGTAATAATATGCGAGATCCAATTCCTCTCCTTGATAGATCATTATATGTTTGTTATTGATGGGAAGCCAAATATAACGTACCACCCACAGAGACGATATTCGTTAATTGATTCACATATATGAAAAATATTGAAGAACTAATATTCAACATCAACAACATGTTTTCGTGTCGTTTCGCACTTTAATCGTGATACAAATAGGTAAACATTTGAAATAAATGGACGTCATGTATATATCAAATAATACCGAAACATTTTTTATAATAAAGCAAATCATTACGAATAGCTAATGAGATACAAGCCTTTTGAGAACTGACCGATATGTGTGAATCTGATACAGTTGTGTGGGAATACACGTGGTTATAAAGGCTTGCTCTTGATAACGGCAAGTTATATTATAAGAAGATATTGGAAAAGAGAAACGAAACTTGGGAAAGAGATATCTAAAAAGGACAAAAAGCAAAAGGACTTTGTGATGGCAAATGCTTCGAATGCGAACTTTTCTTTCGAAAATCATGAGGACATAACAACGTTTATGGAATTCAAAGCGGGAGAACTGATATGGAAAATTGTTCCACCTATTCTAATAATATTAGGCACTGTTGGAAACTGTCTTTCTATACTTGTTTTAACACGCAGATGTATCCGATCTTCAACAACGGCTTTGTTTCTTACAGTTCTTGCATTCTCGGATTTATTTGTGCTGTATACCGGACTTTTACGACAGTGGTTGATACATCTGTTTGAAGTTGATGTAAGAACAATCAGCGAGTTCGGGTGTAAATTAAATATCTGGATGGTGTACAGTTCTCTGGATTTTTCAGCTTGGATTTTGATTGTTGTGACACTGGAAAGAGTTATATCAGCATGGTTACCGCACAAAGCAAAAACTTTGTGTACAAAAAAGTACGCAGTAGCTTTGTTGATAGCTGTTATAGTGTTTATTCTTCTCCTAAATAGTCACATGCTTTATGGAATGGTGTTCAGAGATACTACCGCAGAACTGGATGACTTAAAATGTATTGAAATCAACGCAGATTATCGCAGTTTTTTCAATGTTATATGGCCGTGGATCGATTTATGTGTTTTTTGTCTTATTCCGTTCACAGTAATTGTTTTAGGAAATTCTTTGATTTTATTCAAGGTATTAAAAAGCCAAAGGAAAGTAAAAACGCGTGTTGTGCCTTCAGCTCAGAATGGAAACAGACAAACGACAAGCTCTGGACATAACAATAAACAGTCATCGATGACTGCCATGCTTTTTACTTTAAACGTTGTATTTCTGTTGAGTACCTCACCAGTCAGTATCTACAATATCGGATATCCCTACTGGTCAGAAAATTCTAGCATGCATAAACATGCACAACTAGATCTTTGGTGGGCAATTGTCAATATGCTAATGTATGTGAACAATTCCCTCAATTTTTTTCTGTATTGTCTCAGTGGAACAAAATTTAGACAGGAAGTCATCGTAATATTTTGTTCATGGAGAAAAGGAAACGAAGCAACTATCATGAATCTTGCGACTCACTCTAATTATTCACGCACGAGATTTGACACTCCGTCTGCAACCCCATCACCAAGACAATCTGCCATTTTTACTGTAAATAATTCGTCTAACTCAAATGACCAGATAAAAACAAATGCCGAAAAGCCTATATTATCAAACCAGACACGTGTAACTTCTACTAGACTATCCAATAATAGTCTACATCCGAATGATGCATTGAAAATAGCCAGCGATATGGTGCATCATACTGAAAATGGTGTGAAAAATGAAGACTCATCTTCATAGATACCTTATACAAGTGGAATAAAGCATTTAGATAAAAGCAGTGATATAATCCTTTGAATTTCTTCCAATTAGAATAAAGGCTCAATACAAATAACATCGGATTGTTTATGCGTCAATACAAATAACAGTGGTTTAAACGATTCTTCAGTCGATCATACAACTGACATGCATAGGGCACTTGTTGCAGACGAACTATTTGAAATCTATAGCATTGACGACATCGATATTTATGTAAAATTTTACAATATTAACGAACTACTGTCTATGATGAAAATGTAAATATATTTTACAACTTTATTACATCATTACCTATGTAATACAGATGTGAACAAAACGTATTAGACTTCATTTCATATCAACGAGATTATCCAAGATTAACTTCTATAAACCTTTGAATGTTTAATTAACAACATGTATAAAGATTAGTGAAAGTCAACGCTTTGTATGTCAACATGGCTTTTGTTTGGAGCTTTATTTTACAATTTAGTATTGCAGTATTCAGATATTAATTCAATGATCCGTTTTATTCCATATTGGAATTATTTTTTTCTTTTTTTAAAAATTCTGGAAAATAGGAGATCCCTCGGAAACAATTTAAACAACAGAAAAAGTATGACTACCTTTTCCTATTATTTTCATATCCTATTGTCGCAATCTTTTCTTTATTTGTCTCAATAAATTAATATTTTGAAAAAAGATACAAATTATTACAAAAAAATGAAGAGACAGGAAGTGCGTTATCTTTTTGCTGAATTAGACTTCATCTTTGCAAATATTGATTGAAACTTAAAGTATTTAAAGAAATAGATTTGAATTTTACTAAATTATTTCAAGGTAGAAGAAGAAATCTGAAATTGAATAAATTTGAGTTGTTTTTACCTCTTGTACAAGGATATAACATTGCTTTAAATTATTTTACGTTTAATCACCATTTGATACAACCATCCGGTTTGGTTAACTATCGTAGCGAAAGCATCCTGGAATCGTGTTTAATAGTATAAAGCGAACATCGAGTTGTTGATGTATTGTCGCTTTGACAAACTTTCTTCAGTTGCATATGTACATGTTACTGTTGCCAGTTTATTATATATGTATTATTATCATTTGTAATATTCAGATTAAATATTGCGATAAGATGTAGAATCTTTTGACATAAATGAAACATTTTTTTCTTATTGTTTACATATTTGTTGATGCATGTGGAAATAATTGATTAAAACATATCAACCTGTCTTACATAAAACTCAACGATAAAAGCAAAGGATTCCAAATATTTGGACCTACTTACAATTTGGTTAACCTCGGTTTTTATCAAGGGAAGATAATCCACTATTGTCCCTCATTATCAATCTTTATCAATTTACATGTTGACGTGTCTTACAGGCTAATTAATATCTATTACGTAATAATCATGGAAATAACACCAGTATTATTGATTTTATTTAAATTAATGTACTATCAAATGATTGATCTGTAAGATTATCAGTTTCTCACAAGTTCTGCTACATCGAATGACGTGCGATGACAAAATTTATTTCATTCTATTAAGGTTTGTTATCAATGAAATGAATTGAAAATATTTTGAAATAGAAAAAAAATCGTCGTGTTATTTTTTATTCAAACACACTAGCTTGGTCAATTACTTAATCAAAAGGGAGAAAACCATATTACATGTACGATATATAAATGGAATATGTTTAATAAGGTCTTGACATTGACCATTTGACTATATTATATGATTACGGTATTTGTTACACGTACTGTGTACGCATGGGTATATTGCCAAGTTGTATTCTGAAATAAAGTCTTGAAACTTTGTAAAATAATATTTTTCACGATGTGTTGATATTTATAGAGAGAGTCTTATTTGATGAAAGTTTTAATAAGAATGTATTTCACCATGTGACTCAATAAGAATATAAGAAAATAGGAGTGGAAAAAAAACAAAATTCCCAAAAGTAAAGTGATTTCGCGCGTTTCCCACCTACTCAAATGAAAATTATTAACATTACTATTCGTATTTCAAGTATGATTTCATCAAGATAAAATAAATGTGTTTCGATTATTAATATCGCAATATAACGTTAACGTCACAACATAAAGCCAAAATTATAAAAAAAAATCAGTATAAGGACATATTATATTGCATACTTTTCATATTTTCTGACAAAATATCGCTACTCCGTTTTTAGAGATAACAGATAACGCATAGTGCTACAGCTTATAGTAATTACGCGTGGATATTATCGTCTTCTGTTAAAGCATATGCTGATATATTTGGCCGACATTATTATGAAGCACAGAAAAGGCGACATGTTCTTTTATTGGTACCATTGGATAACAAATTTAAGGCAATAAGTAATTATGTTAAATGTTTTTACTTGTTTTATGTACATAAAATACACTAAACAAATCTCTCGTGATGCCAATTTTCAGCTAAGATCTATTGTGTTGTTTGCATTAATAGTGATTATAAGCACGTTTATATAGACGTATTGAATGTTTTTAGAATTATGAAGCTGATTGCTTTATAGATTTTACCAGCGCACATGTATAAATATCGCGAGATATACTAGCGATACCAGATTATATAAAACTGTGAAGACAAATTAAGAGGAAAAAAAGTGATTAACTACTTACGTAACTAGTTAACCAGTTATCACTTATCAATAAATAGCATTGTTTTGCTCCATTGCATTGATACACAGTTACACTTTAGTCATTGCAGACATTAGACGAAGCCTTTGAGCCTATTTATAGATAAGTGATAACTGGTTAACTAGTTACGTTATTAGTTAATCACTTAAATAACTAGTTAGTTATGTAGTTAACTAGTTACGTAACTAGTTAATCACTTACCACTTATCCAAAATATCGCTAACTGGTTAACTAGTTACGTAACTAGTTAATCACTTAACTAACTAGTTAATTATGTGGTTAACTAGTTACGTAACTAGTTAACCACTTAATATTAAACTGGTAAAATAATAAAAGGATGGCAATTGTAGGCACTAACATGCATTTATTTCCCGTTATGATCTTTTATTTATTGAACAAATTGACTAGTTACGTAACTAGTTAATCACATAACTAACTAGTTAATTAAGAGGTTAACTAGTTACGTAACTAGTTAACCTCTTAATTAACTAGTTATTTATATGGTTATCTGGTGGCAGAAATATGCCACCATATACATTTATACGATAAATGAGAATATGTTGTTTAGGAACAATGTATAATCTGCAATGTACAGATATGCAAATACGGCCGTTTATCTCACACTTAACCATCACTACCTACATACATGTATACATGTAACTATTTCATGGTTTCTCGTCATGTTTGATACTAAATACTATCTACAAAAATATTAATGATATAACAGACATTTTATCATAGACCAATTAACTTTGAAATACAATATTTGTTCACAAGACAGTATTTCATTATCACATACACCTTTATTCTTCTGAAAGTAGGCATGAATATGAAGGTGTGCTTGTGGTACATCCAGTTCATCTGCAAGAGACAAAAAGATTGAGTAGATAGATACGTTCTCCATTTCTAAAGTATGATTATAGATGGTATTTTAAAATCACGTAAACATGCTTTGTTATTTAATGGCCTATAGAGATGGTAATTTAAAGATCCCGCTAGATAGAATCCTACAGGGGTTGCAATTAATGTTCAATCAATTAAGTCCATCAAGTACTTTAACTTGTTTGTGCAATTTTTAAACGAAGCTAAAATGAAGAAAGTCACGTTATGCCAGTATTCATGCCGGTACTATCTGTTAGGTAAGAGTAAAAATCGCCCATTTAATGGTATATCAACCTCCCGAAAGATTAAAAAAGTGTATTGGTGCAATTCATTCATCCACCATCGCTTGTTTAACAGATAATGAAGATGGTAATAAGTTATTACAATGTATTTTAGAGAGAAAAAACGAGAATTTTCATTTCAAGTATAACAAGCAAATTCGTTGAATTTATATCCCCCGCCGAGCACTGGTTATTATTAACACAACAACTGAAGACATAAGGCTTTATTTATATATTAATCATGGCATAAACTGTAATATTCTTTGAACTTGAAGCCTTAATTGTACCTTCAAACAAGAAGAAGGAAAATCTATGACCCCCTGGAGTGGGGCCAATTTTGACCCCAGGGCTAAAATTTGAACAATTTTGGTAGAGGACCTATATGTTATATCATATACCAAATATCAAAGCTCTAGGCCTTGTACTGTCAGACAAGATTTTTTAATTTTGCATTTTTGAAACTCCTTTTCTGGCCCTGTGACTGATGATTGTGATTGAAAATTACAAAATTTTACTAAGTCAAGGGCAATAACTCTAAAAATACTAAAAATATCCAGACGAAAATACCCAGGTGCACAACTACACATACTGATCAACATTCCTGTAAAGTTTCATGACTCTAGGTCAAATACTTTTTGAGTTACATGCGACACAAGTTGAAAATTACAAAATTTTACTAAGTCAAGGGCAATAACTCTAAAAATACTAAAAATATCCAGACGAACATACCCAGGTGCACAACTTCACATGCTGATCAACATTCCCATAAAGTTTCGTTGAATTCCAGCCATTAGTTGCAGAGAACTACTCCGGAAACGAAATTCGGACAAAATTTTACTGAGTCAAGGGCAATAACTCTAAAAATACTATAAATATCCGGACGAAAATACCCAGGTGCACAACTACACATACTGATCAACATTCCTGTAAAGTTTCATGACTCTAGGTCAAATACTTTTTGAGTTACATGCGACACAAGTTGAAAATTTCAAAATTTTACTAAGTCAAGGGCAATAACTCTAAAAATACTAAAAATATCCAGACGAAAATACCCAGGTGCACAACTACACATACTGATCAACATTCCTGTAAAGTTTCATGACTCTAGGTCAAATACTTTTTGAGTTACATGCGACACAAGTTGAAAATTTCAAAATTTTACTAAGTCAAGGGCAATAACTCTAAAAATACTAAAAATATCCAGACGAAAATACCCAGGTGCACAACTACACATACTGATCAACATTCCTGTAAAGTTTCATGACTCTAGGTCAAATACTTTTTGAGTTACATGCGACACAAGTTGAAAATTTCAAAATTTTACTAAGTCAAGGGCAATAACTCTTAAAATACTAAAAATATCCAGACGAAAATACCCAGGTGCACAACTTCACATGCTGATCAACATTCCCATAAAGTTTCGTTGAATTCCAGCCATTAGTTGCAGAGAACTACTCCGGAAACGAAATTCGGACAAAATTTTACTGAGTCAAGGGCAATAACTCTAAAAATACTAAAAATATCCAGACGAAAATACCCAGGTGCACAACTTCACATGCTGATCAACATTCCCATAAAGTTTCGTTGAATTCCAGCCATAAGTTGCAGAGAAATACTCCGGAAACGAAATTCGGACGGACGGATGGACGGACGGACGGACGGAAGGACGGACGGACAACGCCAAAACTATATCCCCCTC